ATCTATCTATCTATCTATCTCGTCACCTCTTTGGTTGCACTATCTATCTATCTATCTATCTATCTATCCTTTCGACACCTGACACAGTTAAATATTCTATCTATCTATCTATCTATCTATCTATCAAACGAGGCACAGAACACGTAGCAATTGTTATTGCGCAATCATAAGTGTAGAGAATTCATCACACCGCTCACTTTTCAGAAATTCCTATCTATCTATCTATCTATCTATCTATCGCCCAAGAACAGTCGTGCTTATACATTCCTATCTATCTATCTATCTATCTATCTATCGTCCTTAACCAAAAGGAAAAGAAGCAGCCTATCTATCTATCTATCTATCTATCTATCGTCCTACTACTTCAGTTTGCAATTCGAACAAGCAAAGAATTGGAAGCCATTCTGGCCCGTGACCCGAGGATCGTGTCTCGGAGTCCTATCTATCTATCTATCTATCTATCTATCATTCAAGATATACAGAATCAACTACAGACTATCTATCTATCTATCTATCTATCTATCGTTAAACTACAAGAAAACAGTGGCCGCATAACGACATTGGAGCGACAGTTGGCATCAGGGAATTTCTCTGTAACAGCGTCCTCGGAACAGCGGTTTCTAAATGATGTCGGTTTGCCAAGTACCGAGTTTACCAGGAGAGTAGCTATCTATCTATCTATCTATCTATCTATCGAGGTTCTTCTGGTTGAGAACAATCGCGCTATCTATCTATCTATCTATCTATCTATCAACCTAAAGAGACAACAGGATACCACCCCTATCTATCTATCTATCTATCTATCTATCATTGAATCCATTGAGCACACACTGGCACCTATCTATCTATCTATCTATCTATCTATCGAATACGTAAGACAGCAGGAATTCTCAACTATCTATCTATCTATCTATCTATCTATCTCTGAATACGCTCGTAAAAGAAATGACGCTATCTATCTATCTATCTATCTATCTATCAGCCCATGTTTCTTCACTAGTCGCTACGCTATCTATCTATCTATCTATCTATCTATCAACGGCGACGGTATGGGCAGAGGAACGCCTATCTATCTATCTATCTATCTATCTATCGGTCAGTATGACGCACTGCTCCGCTGGCCTATCTATCTATCTATCTATCTATCTATCCTGGATCAGGATAATGTAGAACACGTGACTATCTATCTATCTATCTATCTATCTATCTCATCCTTCCAGAGGCCAAGAAGAGAAACTATCTATCTATCTATCTATCTATCTATCTGTCCGCTTGCTGAACTGAATAATCATGCTATCTATCTATCTATCTATCTATCTATCAAAATAATTGTAGATACCTCTGATTTGTCTATCTATCTATCTATCTATCTATCTATCTGTCATATACAGGGCTTTTGGCTCACCTTTGTCCTTCGATTTTACTCGCTAATAATGCCTCGAAGACCTACATTTCGCTCGCCTTTCAAGGTAAAGAGTCCCTTCTCCCTGCACAAAGAAAAACAAAGATGCACTCCTTATTGTGGTGTATAAAGTGCTTGTACAAGCATCCGACAGAGCCACCTCGCACAAATCATACCTATCTATCTATCTATCTATCTATCTATCGACAGCGTGGCACTGCAAGTGAAGATCACTATCTATCTATCTATCTATCTATCTATCAAAAGCGGTGAAGGCGCATTGAACCAGTAGTAAATACATAAGCTTGAGGTCAAGTACGTCTATCCAGAAAATACCCTGTCCTAACCGAGTTTGATGTCGGCACTGTAAGTTACGGCTGAGTTTCTCCCACTCGGGCTTCAGGCGGGGCACGAATCCAAGCGGAAAAAACGACATTCCGTAACTTATAGTGCGGACCCAGGAAAAAAGGTAGTTAAGATATTAATTTATCATGTCTCTGGATTCAAATTGAGGAGGACTATCTATCTATCTATCTATCTATCTATCGACCGTAAAGGGAAATATGGCCGGCTAACTATCTATCTATCTATCTATCTATCTATCAGAGATATAAATATATCTTATTAACCAACTATCTATCTATCTATCTATCTNAAAAAAGACCGAGGGCCGATATTCTTCCAGTACGGTCCCGAGCAAGCTTGGTTAATAAAAGATTTATTATACGACTGAAGTTCAAAGGGACACAAGTGCGGTATCATTCGGGACCATTCGGGACAGTGCCCGGTCCAATACTGAGAGAATATTGACCGGCAATATAGCATTTTGATTTTAGTTATTGGCCCTCTGACTGCCCGAGTCGTGTAATAATGTGTCTTACACTTGGGAAAGATAATTGGCCCCCTGATAGCTCTCTAATCCCAAGGGTATTATGAGTTTTAAGGAATCTGGCACTAAAAAAAGCTGATTTGGTAACATGTGGCAAACCAAATGAGCAAACGGTTATATTTTAGCGTCTGACTTAAAAAAAGTAGGCACGTTGTAGATAAGAGACACGTGGCGGGCGAGTTAAACCTTTTTTCAGCATGTCACGCAAAGATGAGCTAAAACGTTTTCGAAAAAGTCCAAAGTTTTGATAACATATGCGACGTATGAGATGCATGCTTCATGTCGTCTTAAAGGAAGAACCCTTAGAATAGAAGCATTTTGAAAAACGTCGATATGTTTTTAGAAAAATGTTCATTGAGAGTGATAAGAGAATTTTCACTTGTTGGGAAACAAAAATTTAGTTTAAAAAAAGTGAAAAAAATGAGTTAGACAATAATCATATATTTGTTTACCCTGTGTGTAGCGTGGCTATCTTAAAGACAACTGCAAAATATTTTTTGTAACTAAGTTGTTGCTTTATCTTTGGAGTACTTTTTAATAAGTTGAATTTTACTTGATTGTCTACTTTACTTAAAGCTGTTTTCGATATTATAGAGAAGCTGTCGCTGAAAGCAACAAAGAGAGTGAAGAACTAACTTCACTTACCCCTGTTCTATTTTTTTTCAAACAATCATTCAATAGGTAGTGATGGGAATGATAACAATGATAATGGTTTGCCTAAAGATATCTTATCTTATTATCATATGTTTTGTAGTACTTTTGCAGTCATCATACCCTGTAATTGAATTTTATTCTTCTATTATTCAAACATTTTGTAGGTAAATTTCTTTAGTATCATAATAATGAATTTTGATATAGTTTCAAAATTTGAAGGAGCTCTCCTAAGGAGAATCCGATCGATAATAGTGCGGTTTAGGTTTTCCCTTAATGGGTGGTTAGATCTTTTCCATGTCCCTAGCCAGGCACGCTAACAAGAGAAAGATTTCAAATTTTATTTAGCATTGATTAGAGCTGGCTGGGAGACTTTGGGTAAGTCCATTGGGTAAAATAGTCACGGTAATATAGGTATATTTAGAATTTTCTGTAGTGCATATTTGTAACTTAAGAAGGATCGTGCAAACAGGTACAATAGCTCTGAACATGACCTTTGAACGTGCACTCCCTGCAAAATATATTAAGGGTGATGTTTAGCGCTTGGTTCATGCTAATAGCTTAGTATGGACGCACGCGGGAAGTTTGGAGAGCTCTCATGATATAAAGGGGGAGTTACTTTCGGCGAACATAGCGGACACAGCTAATGTACGAAAAAGAGTTTTATCACAATTGAGTCGGGTTTACCGGATAATCACGTACTACCCGGCGAAAAACTTTGGATAAAAAGTTAAGCAAAAATGACCAAGAAATATTTCGTGACCAATAATTTATTGTAGAAGTGCTACGTTTGCTGTTTAGAGGCGAAAAACGTTCCAATTTTTTTTTCATTCAAATAGATTCGCCATGCGTGAATAATTATTTTTTACTATATCGAACTCACATGTTCATTGTTTTCCGAATGGAGTATTCTTTAGCGTATTTTCTTTTAATTTTAACCTCCAAAGGTCCATCTCAATCGGAACGGAACGGAAAACAATCTTGAGAGTTCTGAAACCTAGCGGCTAAACAGGACGAGAACTTTTCAGATGAAGCAACACTACATACGTCATCATACATACACACGGCTGTCCGTACATATACACATCCAATACTTTGTGGTTTCACATATAATACAAGCAAAGGGAAAAACACCCACTCGTATTCAACCATCGATTAAGGGATTTATTATTCCATTATTATTTCATTTTCTTGTGTTTTAACACATATTTTACGAAATACCTGTTACGGACTTATCTGAGCATCTCAATGACCGCATAAGGCGTGGGTGGAAGAAGAAAACAATACAAAGAAAATTGCTTAAGTGTTCCTTACGGCAACAAACTCTGATGGGCCAAAAGTTCATTACTTAAAAAGTGAAGTCTCAGAGACAAAAAAATTTGTTTTATCGTTCAGCGCCGCCATTTTTTTGTTCCGATTTTCATCCGTATTTTTGCCCTGTCCTACACTGTAGGATCGTGGCATAGTCGGTGCGCTTCGTTGCCCTAATATGGTTAAGTAGCGTAGTAATGGAATAACAAAGAGACACCATAATGGCTCATGCATTAGGAATTAGGTAAGACTTACGTGCGTGCTATATATAAACACAATATCCCCCATTTGGCCTCAAGAAAGGCTCGAGAACAGTGGGTAAAGAGGGCTCGTTTCAAAAAAGTGTGGTGTTGCGTCGGTTGGGGGTGTATAACATGATAATTTGGTTTTAACAAATGAGTTGATAAAACCAAATTATCTCGGGAACAACGAGCTTCGAACATATTTGCGCGCCAAATGGAGGCTACCGTTTGAATATAATTATACGCTTACTAGTGATTAATAGGAGCCAACGATTGAGGAAAAATGAAGAAAGAGTAAATGTAACATACAGTACTAATAGTAAAGTAGAAGTGGTAGCACTAGTAGTGGGAGGAGCAGTAGCAGTAGTTGTATTAAAAGTTGCAGTGGCAGCAGTAGTAGTTGCAGTTGAAGTTGTAACATTAGGTAAGGGTAGAAATCTAATAGATATAGACGATATAAACTTAGCTTTTTATGGGTAAGAGATAAGCGGAGTATCGCTAACAACATTGTATTAATTCCAGTAAAGACAACTACAATGTACATTTATAGCCTGCGTGCATTTTGCAATTAAAAAAATTGGGAATCAAATCTTGTCGTTCTTGCACTAATCCTAGAGGCGGTTTACATATAGTCGTCTCCGTAGTTTGTCCACAGTGAAGACATGAGGTCTGAAATCTCTGCCAAATAGTTATGGTGTGAGTTATGTCTAGGAAGTTAGGAGATGCACAAATATTGTATCGGCGAACACTCTCTCCGATGCAGAGGTAATCTTATCTACTGGGCCGTGTACGGGCTTTCTAGTCGAGGGTGTGGTGAAGAGGAAAGCGGGAAGAAAACAATGAAGGGGGTAATCAAGCCCCCTTTCCCGCACCCAACTGCTGTAATCAAACCGATATTATTTAAGTCTTTTTACTTCCATATCAAACGATTGAGCATATTTCTGACAGCAACTTCTTTAGAGTTGTGTCTAACTTCCCTTGCTTCCGTGAGGAGGGAATGAAGTTATGGTTTTTTGAGGATCTTAAATCTGAAACTAGGTATGGTGTTTTTAGGAGTATATTCTTCGTAATAAGTTTCTAAAACAGGTCGGAGAATTAAAGTCACTAATCCGCCCAGTCTGAATAACGACCTCAAGGAACCTACACAACTATTAAGTATCACGTATGTGTTTTGCAAAGCGTTACCAACTGACCATGAGATGACGTCACGTAGTTACCCAAATGTGATCCTTTGCGTTTTGACCTTGATACATACGAAGAGAAAGGTTTTGCTCCCGCAAGGTTCTGGCCTAGACTGGATTCATAGTCTCAATAACATGTGAGTTACGATTATTGATAATTATAATCTTTTATAGAACACTTCGCAAGAAATACTGAACGAGAAATTATCGCTCCAGCTGTTGAATAACTAGAAAGCGACAGATCTCTAAGTTATCTATTCGTTAAGTTAATAATGCATGTTATTTCATACATACCTAGATTTACACAGTGAAGTTCTATCGTTCGTGTCTCTGATTGGACGAACGATGTATTTCCACAGTCGTTCGCTTCAAATCTTTGAAATGTCTCGGTCAGTAACAATAAATCTCAGTATGTATCATAACTTTATAACAAGGAAAGTGCGGAGAGTGTTAGCGCTCAATTCATATCTAAAGAATGTTTATGAGGTATTTTAGTGTGGGCGAGGCAAATGGTATGTTGCTATAATACGTTGACGTAAGTGGACTTATCTCAATTATGAACCTAAGGGCTAAATATATCGAAACTAGGCCGGTCTTCAATTTAGAGGGCTATAGGTCTTGTGTTCAACGTCAATAGAAACCTATCTAGTTACAGATCTAGACTTAGATATTCTTCAACACGAACTATTCTCTCTTTCTATCGAGAAATATCCGGATGTAGATACTCTCAAAAATAAGACACCTACCGCTAATTCAGTCCAAAATTGTTCACAAGCCTAAATTTAGCAGGCCCCACAAAAAGCCGAAAATTTTGATCTCTAGGAGGGGCTCCACTCTTTGTTTGTGGAGACGACTTACTGATCGAGGATGGATAAAGCAGCTGCGTGAACTCGGGCTTTCAATATCGCCATCTGTAGTTATCTTTAGGGGACTGCCATATTGCCATCGTTACTGTCGTTACGCAATTTCGTCATTGCCGGTCATGAATAAGTCTATTTCACAGCCATGACTTAACAAACACCGCATGATGAGATCTGGATTCTTTTGCATATTTTATTTCTTTTGCAAGATAATTTTGTTGTGCACACAACACTGATTCGTCACACTTTTGTTGCAGGCATGGCGCTACTTTGTCCAAATTATACCTCTCATTCATTTGACATCGCGTTCTTTGGTACCAAACAAACATTCCTGCATAACAAATACGTGAATTTAATATTCGCACAAAAGCGACATAACTAATGGAACGAACAGAAAAATAACAACAGATAATATACTCTATTTGAGAAAAAGCATAACAAATGTAAGCTTAATAATCACGATAGAGGTCACATAAATATAACAATTACGTTTATCCTCACCGATGAAAGTCCAACATGGCATCTTTGTTGTCGTTTCCCAGAGTTTGATCACGAGGCACCTTGTATTTATCAGCAAATGTTCTCCTGTCACTCTGTCCACATC